GCAAATTTTTTGAAAAAATGCAGATTTCCAGTTCACTAAAAAGTGAAAGTATTGCTCGAGCGGTCGTTTATTAAAAAATCAAAGTATGCAAATGAATTAATGTTCATTTACATATTTGGATGAGGGCGGTCGCTCGTTGCAAGACGCACTCGCTTCTGATTTTTCGGTAAAGTTGAGTATTTCTCATGTCCACCTGCAGGAAATTTCACCTTCAAGCAAAATTAAGACCGCACGTGAAAGTAGAATGTCCCAGCGAAGTTTCAGTCTCGCAACATGTCCAGTAAGCGAAATAGTCACTTCGCTACAAATATCTTTGAAGTGCCCCTAGCCGTGGCGCAAGTGCAAATCGGTACTCATTTTAGGTATACGATTTCCTATACGGACGGCAAAATGCCGAAAAAATTTCAGCCACTGTTTTCCGGCAAGTTTTCGATTTAGCACAGTATCAATTTGCAAACTTTGAAGTGATCGTAAGTGCTACGTTTGCGTGCATGACAGCTGAATTTGAAATCTTTAGCTCTCACATGCACAGAGAATATTCCTGCAAAGCGCCAACCTTATACATTACCTGGTTTGCAAAACCATTTCCCGCCAAAGAAATATGCATATTTTTTCTGGAGTCCCCTACGCTAGTTCTGGGCGCATATGAGCAAAAATTTTTAAAAGGGAGAATAACACATGAGGTAGGAACATGTACTCAAAATTTCAGCCTCCCAGCTTTCCCTGGTTGCTGAGATGGAAGTGGGTGACAAAATTCACTCGCTTCCGAACACACCCATACACACATAGGCAAACTCTCGACAATATACGTTTCTGCTGACTATAGCAACGCTATAGCGCTACACAGAAAAAGCGCATAAAAAGCATAAAAGCTTTGTTTCGCGTCGCCAGAATCTTTTACCCACTATACTAGCAAATGCAACTTCATAACCTTCCCTTGACTTTTATTTGCTGAACTGGCCCTTGATGGTTTACGCTATCCAAGCTGACCCAGGTAAGGTGTGACTCAAAACGCCGACAAATGTTGCAATTATTTATTCGGGCGGAATCGTTATAGAAGCGATTTTTCTCCTTTGGTCATAAAAACGGTGCAGCCAGCGTGATTTGGGACTTCATTTCTGCTTTTAATTATTAAGATCTCTTGACATTTCAGTACCAGTATGCTTCACTTTGGTTTAGTCTTTTCCAAAAGCGAATGTATTTTCCTGCATTCTGCGGTTTTTATACGTAAGCAAATTTTTGTTGTGCTTTGGTATGCCCTGTTGTGCATGCCCAATTTCTTAACGACTCGGTACATAATAAGTTTCAATATGTTGTCCATTTTGTTAACTCAGCGCACAAAAAAGTGGCAAATTTTTTTTTATCAGCTTTGCTTCTAAATGACTAGGTAAAAATCCCAATACGACTGTGGGACAAAAGAGACGTATAGATTTTTATGTCATCTCCAGCAAATGCGATCAGGCCCTATGTACTTGTTTTTTAGGAGCTGCTGCACGTACATCCACTTGTTTAGCATGCTGTCATTCTCATGTTACGGCGTGATGCTGAGTTGGACTTCTCAAAATACTATTTTAGTGGTTTTGCACTTAATAAAATCACTGTTCGGTAAATAATCATATCATCAGCAACGAACCATCTCTAGTTTCAGTTATATTTGCAGGAAAGGTTGGATAACGCGGAATTCAAAATTGATATACGTTCCCTCTACTTGTTTATCGAAATTTACCTACAGTGTTGAACTTGTTCGACCTGGTTATATTGAATATGCGTACCGTCTACCGCGAAACAGTCATGCATTTGTTTTCAGTGTTGACGTGAAAAATGAGCAGTGCAAAAGTTATAGGTGCGTAATCCAATATTTTGTGATGCTTTTCACTTTTTAGGACATGAAAAGGAGTAAAATATGAAGCAGGTGCTTCATCTTATTAAGTTCATCCTCTTTTACTGAATTAGATTCAAGTAGCTGCTGCTTGTAGACGCCGAACTTGCATTAGGAATTGATGGATAGGAAATTCAGTGGGGCTCATCGATGCCAATTGCAGGGACGAAATGAAACAGCTGCAAGGAGGCAGCTTAAAAAAAGGAAATTCGGAAGAGGCCGGTGAATGGCGTCTTGATCGCATTCAGTTGAAAAAGGGATATAACGTTATAAGCTGGGCAGTAATGAGCTATCGTCTGGATACCTCTTACAACAACGATCTCATCACTATTTCTCACATCGATGTAATCGGTACGCTTCGTGCAGACAGTAGCACTGATTTCTTATCCATTTTTGAAAAGCTCCGCATTACTTATTTTACTCCTTATAAAAGCTGAGGTTATGCTATAAAAACAAGCAATAAAGCAGTTAAACGTGATAGGGAAAAGAGTAAGGATAAAACTTAGTATTGTCAAGAACGCCGAAATCGGCGAGATAAAAAGTGTGGGGATCGGTTCCGTTTAGCCAGGTGCTCGGATCGGCAACTACATGCCTCTGTTTAGTAATTACTGCCTATTCGGTTTATGTGCATCATCTCTTTGAAAGAGCATGACTCTATTTCTTCGTCGCTGGCACCACCCGCTAACACGCGACATGCACCGTTTATCAAAAGGCGAGCAACATGCCCTGCAGGAACTTATTTTTTTTCATAAGCGTTTGCTAGTCTGACAGAGAAACTGTTTGTTTATACGGTTTTAAAGAGACACCATGCATTCTTAGCTCTATCGCTGATTCCGACACACCAGTGCTTGCTCTTCAATTTCATCAATGACCGTGTTTCGTGCTTGCACATCATTTCCTAAGCGTAGTAGTTTTGAACTCAGGCTGGAACGGACGGGGCGGGCCCGTGCGATCATTTGCTTTTGCACCAGAGTAGAAGCACTCAGGTCATTAACTGCATGAATGGTTGTTGCTTTACACCTACCTTTTGCGGTCATTAGCACCATAAATTTTGCATAAAGTAAATTTACAATTTCCATTCAACGGTCGTTTTTTATGCGTTTTTGCATATATGTAAATTGCAAAAACGCATATTGGGAAGAGGCTGTC